TTTTTTTTTGGTTTTTCTCCGGTACCAGGAACCGAACTCACGACCTTGCACTTGCTAGGCAGGTGCTTTGCCACTGAGCTGAATCCCCAGCCCACATCTCAACAATCTTAAGTGTTTCAATCTATGAATGTGGGGTCTCTTTCCTTTTGTTTATGTCTTCTAAGATGTTTTATGGGCTTTAGTATAAGTCTGCACTTCTGCTGTTAAATTCATTCCTGATATTTGATTCTTTCTGTTGCTGTTGCAAGCGGCAGCCTCGCTCTTCCTGCTTAGCAGTGTGTCTTGGAGAGCATTATCGTACTGATAAAATCATACCCGTTACATTTAATGATTTTTGGTAGCTTAGTGTTTCATTGGTGGACATACCTTAATTTATTTAATTGGCCCTCTATTGTTAACCTTATATTTTTTCCTATTGCAAATACAAGTATGTATGTCATATTAACCTTGTGTATAGGTGATTTTATACAAACTGTATGAGTAAAACTGTAGAATAAATTCTTAAATACATTTTCCCAGTCAAAGAGATGTGCCCGTGATTGGATTGGTGTGGCCACATTGTCCTCCTTGGAGGTTGAACCAAGTCACTTTCCATTGGCCCAGCAGAGTGTTAAGGTCCTATTCCCCTCCCATCAGCGTCCTCTGTTCTCACGGTGCCTCACTTTAGGGGTCTCTTGAGGGACCATCTCCCCCATTCTGGTTCTACCCTCCTTCCCTGCAGGGATGGAAGTTGTAAAGGTTGGAGGTCCTGTGTACAGGATTGGAGTTGGGGGTGGAGCTGCTTCCTCTGTGCAGGTGAGTAGGAACAGCTAAGGATGCAGACTGATGTCGCTGGGCCCCATGGCTGGACGGCAGAGCTTCCCTGAGCTGAGCTGTGCTTTATGTTTCCCCCAGGTGCAGGGAGACAACTCCAGTGACCTGGACTTTGGGGCTGTGCAGCGGGGAGACCCGGAGATGGAACAGAAGATGAACCGTGTGATCCGGGCTTGTGTGGAGGCCTCCAGGGGAAACCCCATCTGCAGCCTCCATGACCAGGGCGCTGGTGGCAATGGTAAGGGAAGCAGTTGGGACAAGGGACAGCCAGCCCGGCCTCCTGCCAGGTTCAGTTTAGGAAGAGGTATCGAGGATCAGTCATCAGCTTCCCCGCTCTAGGTTCTTTCTCTACCCTTGTACATTCTTGACAGGTTCTGGGCCGGTGGGGTGGGTAGTGCGGGTGCGGTGGGTAGTGCGGGTACAGCAGTAGCTCCTGCAGGAACACAGAGTTAGATGTTGCTTCGGAGGCCAGGGGCCACTCTTCGTTCACCATGAGCTGACTATGACCCCATCACCATCTCTCCCTGCAATCCTTTACCAGGCAACGTCCTGAAGGAGCTGAGTGACCCGGCGGGAGCCATCATTTACACCAGCCGCTTCCAGGTGGGTCTCGTGCTGAAGGCTGCATGTCCATGTCATGTGCCCCGCCCGCCCCAGCCAGCCTTCCTGTCTCCCCCACAGTCTTAGCAGCACTGTGAGGCACTGGAGAGTACACTGTTCATTTTCTGTCTTCTCTGCAATGGCTGGGAAGCTGGGGGACCCAACTCTGAATGCTCTGGAAATCTGGGGTGCCGAGTACCAGGAGTCAAATGCACTTCTTCTGAGGCCCCCCAACCGGGACTTCCTGAGTCGTGTCAGTGCCCGGGAACGCTGCCCAGTTTCCTTTGTGGGCACCATCACCGGAGACAAGAGAGTAAGTTGGTCCCAGGAGCAAAGACCGTGGGCAGACTCGAGCCACCTGGGTACATGGGATGGAAAACTGCCCGGGGCCGGGAGTGAGAGGAGGGTTGGGGAGATGCAGGAGGCAGGAACCCTGCAGAAAAAGGGCTGGAAGGAGCGTTTCTGTCCGATCTGTAGGTACCCTCCCTGCCAGTGTTCACAGGCTCATTCTCTCTGGTCCCTGTTGTCCACAGATTGTGCTGGTGGATGATCGTGAGAGCCCCGTAGGAATAAACGGCCGAGGGGACGCCCCTGCAGCCTCTCCCCCAACCCCTGTGGACCTGGAGCTCGACTGGGTGCTGGGCAAGATGCCTCGGAAGGTATATGGGGTGAGGGTGGGAGTGAGTTTCTCCTGTGGCTCCTGTCAGACCTTCCTTGCCCCTGTCTGTGTGCCCAGCCCTCTCTGGCTGCTTACCACCCCGCCTACCCGCCACTGCCATCTCTCTTGCAGGAGTTCTTCCTCCAGAGGGAGCCCCCTGTGCTGCAGCCCCTGGCCTTGCCTCCCGGGCTGACTGTGCGCCAGGCTTTGGAGCGGGTTCTCAGGCTTCCCGCCGTGGCCAGCAAGCGCTACCTCACCAACAAGGTCCTCCCTGCTCGGCTCCTGCAGCCATCTGTATTCTTCCCTGTACTCATGTCCTCTGGCCTACTGCCCTAAAGGTCTGCCGGAGGTGGGGGTTCCTCCAGCCCTAGGGATAGAAATAGGAGCAGGGGGAAGATAGCCTCCCTGATGGCGTGTTCTGCCAGCCTCCCATCCTGTGTAGAGCTCTTCTTGTGTGCAAGGTGGCAGCGGGTGGGGTGTCTCCCACTGACCCGTGTCCCTCAGGAGAAATGGGGGTCTCCTCCCTGTCCTTTATCTCCTTGCCAACTGTACCTGGCTCCACAGGTGGACCGCTCGGTAGGTGGCCTTGTGGCCCAACAGCAGTGTGTTGGGCCCCTGCAGACTCCACTGGCCGACGTAGCTGTCGTGGCACTGAGTCACCAGGAGCTTGTAGGGGCTGCCACGGCCCTGGGAGAGCAACCTGTTAAGAGCCTGCTGGACCCCAAGGTTGCTGCCCGGCTGGCAGTGGCCGAAGCCCTTACCAACTTGGTCTTTGCCTGGGTCACTGATCTGCGGGTGAGTTCCCCCCAGCTTCTGTGCTGGAGCCCCAGGGGTTTGGGAAACTTCCGCATCCACACTTGGCTCCTGTGCTTCATCACTCCGTAACCTCTGCACCTCTGTTCCCTCTAACGCTGTGTCTCCTCTGTCCCCAGGATGTGAAATGCAGTGGGAACTGGATGTGGGCAGCCAAGCTGCCAGGCGAAGGTGCAGCTCTGGCTGATGCCTGTGAGGCTATGGTGACAGTGATGGCGGCCCTGGGTGTGGCGGTAGATGGCGGCAAGGACTCCCTCAGCATGGCTGCCCGGGTTGGCTCTGAGACTGTGCGGGCTCCTGGTGAGGTGGGGTTCTAGGAAAGGGAGCGGGGAAGGCACTGTGAGGCTGGGCTAGTGTCCCACTCCTCCGTGCTCCTTCTTCTGCAGGGGCACTGGTCATCTCGGCCTACGCTGTCTGTCCAGACATCACAGCCACCGTGACCCCTGACCTCAAGCATCCTGGAGGAAGAGGTATGGATTTGTCCCCTTCCTCCTGCATCATGTGTGTTGAACTTGGCCTTGGTTTGGGGTCTGCTGTGTGAGTAGTGGATGCCCCCATCTCATGACCAGACTGTTGCTTTCTAGGACTGGCTGTCTGGGGCACCTTTCTGTGTGCTGGGAGTGGCAGTGGCATGAGCACTTGTGAGAGGGGTCTTCCTGGGCTATCTGTTTCCTTTTCCCCCTCCCTGTCTCCCAGGCCACCTCCTGTATGTACCTCTGAGCCCTGGGCAGCACCGGCTGGGGGGCACAGCTCTGGCCCAGTGCTTCTCCCAGCTTGGGGAGCAGCCTCCTGACCTGGACCTTCCTGAGAACCTGGTGCGTGCCTTCAGCATCACACAGGGGCTGCTGAAAGGTGAGTGAGACTCTAGGGGAGATGATGGTATGGTGGCAGGGACAAGGCAGGTGCTCCCCAGCTGAGCGGGTGAGAGCAGGGCCAGAGGGACCCGCAGGCCCTTCCCCAGTTCTGTGTGTGCCCACCTTGCACGTACTCCCCGGCTCTCCAGAAGCAGATGGAGCTATCAGGTTCAGGCCTTGATGTTGATGAGCTTTTTTTTCTTTCCCTCCAGACCGCCTCCTTTGTGCAGGCCATGACATCAGTGATGGAGGCCTTGTCACCTGCCTGCTAGAAATGGCCTTTGCTGGGAATTGCGGGATAGAAGTGGATGTGCCTGCCCCTGGGGTCGATGGTGAGGACATCGGGTATAGAGTCGGCCCCGGGCTGCCTCCCTCACCCTGCAGACCCACCTCCGTGTGGACAGTGGAGTGTCCCTAACCTTTCCCCTCTCTCCAGCTCTCCTCTGTGCTGTCCTCTAACAGCTGGATTGGTTGGCACCCACCACTTCCTGATTGTACCCTTCTGAGACCTCCCATGGCCCCTGGTGCAACTTGCTCCAACCCCCCTTCCTAGCCCCCAGCCACTCGACTCGTTGCTTAGCTCCCTCAGCCTTATCGCCCTGACCCCACCTGCAAGCCCCGGTAGCACCCTAGTCACCCTGCCTCACTCCATTGCTCTCCCAGCATTGGCGGTGCTGTTTGCTGAGGAGCCAGGCCTGGTGCTGGAGGTGCGAGAGCCTGACCTGGCTGGAGTGCTGCAGCGCTATCAGGGTGCCGGCCTCTGCTGCTTGGAACTGGGCCGCACGGGCGAGGCTGGGCCCCATGCCGTGGTAAGGAAGCCAGGAGAGGGCAGTACTCAGCGGGCAGGCGAAGTGAGGGGGCCTTGGCCTCTGAGCAGCCATGGAGGGGCTTCCTCTGTCTCCAGCCTGTGTTCAGTTCGCCTTCTCCCCAGGTCCGGGTCTCAGTGAATGGGGTCGTGGCTGTGGAGGAACCTGTCGGGCAGCTGCGAGCCCTCTGGGAGGAGACGAGTTTCCAGCTGGACCGGCTGCAGGCAGAGCCACGCTGTGTGGCGGAGGAGGAACAAGGCCTGAAGGAGCGGACGGGGCCCACCTATTGCTTACCCCCGACCTTCCCCAGGGCCTCTGTGCCCCGGGAGCCTGGTGAGGGAGTGTGCAGAGGCCTAGGTGTCTGCGGGGCTGTCCTAGAACAGGTGTCTGTGGAGTTGGGGTGGGGAAATGACCTTCTGGCCTAGAGACACTTCCTCTTTCAGGTGGTCCCAGCCCCCGAGTCGCCATCTTAAGAGAAGAGGGTAGTAATGGAGACCGGGAGATGGCAGATGCCTTCCACTTGGCTGGGTTTGAGGTGAGCGGGATGCTGGTGGAGCTGGGGGCCTTGATCCACCTCAGGCTCTGTGTCCTCTGACACTTTTCCCCCTATGCTGCAGGTGTGGGATGTGACCATGCAAGACCTCTGCTCTGGAGCCATCGGGCTAGACACATTCCGTGGTGTGGCCTTTGTGGGTGGCTTTAGCTACGCAGACGTCCTAGGCTCTGCCAAAGGTCAGTGTACAGGCTTGTACATGCTGCCTCCGTCACATTCCTAGGGTTGTAGATTGGCCTCGCACCTCCACAAAGCCAGGGCACAGTGGGCATGCTGGCTCAGGGCCAGATGCCAGCAGAAGGCCGTGGGTAACTTAGATGAGGCCGGGGCTGGATAGGGTAGTGCTAACGGAGAGCATACATCTAGCTAAAGGGCCTGCTGCCATGCAGCTCAAGCAGGTTGTCATGTTAGATGCCTCAACATGACCAGATCCTTCAGTGTTTCAGGAGAAGCCCAAAATCTGGAATTTCTGTATGAAATCTCATTTTTAAATGTTAGGCAGCCAGGGCTGGGGATTTAGCTCAGCGGCGCAGCGCCTGCCTGGCAAGCGCAAGGTCGTGAGTTTGATTCCCAGTACCAGAACAAAACAAAACAAAACAAAACAAAACAAAACAAAACAAAACAAAACAAAACAAAACAAAAAATGTTAGGCAGCCAGGTGTGGTGGCATATACCTTTAATCCCAGCACTCAGGAGGCTGAGGCAGGAAGATTTTCCTGAGTTTGAGGCCAACTTGGGCTACACAGTGAGTTTAAGGGCAGTCTGAACTACAGAGCAAGACCCTGTCTCAAAAAAACCCCACAAAATAAAAAAATAATTGTTAGGCAACGAAGTGCTGTAAAGATTTTTAAAAATTGCTAGCCAAGCAAAAAGAAAATGATGGGCTCAGGAGTTGGCAGCATCAGATTCCTGCCTTGCACTTGCCCAGAGCTCTGCAGGATGCTTCCTGGAGTGGAGGAGCAGCTGTCCCCCTTTTTTGCCAGCTTCCTCTTTTCTGAGGTCTTCCACATCTCACCCTGACTTCTCTGTTCCTTCCTAGGTTGGGCAGCTGCCGTGACCTTTAATCCGAAGGCCAGGGCCGAGCTGAGTCGCTTCCGGAAGCGGCCGGACACCTTCAGCCTGGGGGTGTGCAATGGCTGTCAGCTGCTGGCTCTGCTGGGCTGGGTGGGAGGTGACACTGACGAAGAGGCCGGGGAGGTGGGCCCTGACTCCTGGCCAGCCCAGCCGAGCCTCCTGCTATGCCACAACCTGTCCGGGCGCTACGAGTCCCGCTGGGCCAGTGTACGTGTGGGGCCTGGGCCGGCCCTGATGCTGCGAGGGATGGAGGGCGCGGTGCTGCCTGTGTGGAGTGCCCATGGAGAAGGTCAGGCTCCGGGAAGGACAGGGTTGGGGGCGGGGGCTGCAGGGGGAGCTCAGCTTTCACTTCCCTCTTCCTTTCCTCCTAGGTTACATGGCATTTTCTTCTCCGGAACTCCAAGCCCGGATGGAGGCCAGTGGCTTGGTTCCCTTGCATTGGGCAGACGATGACGGAAACCCTACAGAGCAGTACCCTCTGAATCCCAACGGGTCACCAGGAGGCATGGCTGGCGTCTGCTCACGCGATGGCCGCCACCTGGCTCTCATGCCTCATCCCGAGCGAGCTGTGAGGCCTTGGCAGTGGGCATGGCGACCCTCTCCATTTGACATGCTCACCACCTCCCCCTGGCTGCAGCTCTTCGTCAATGCCCGAGACTGGACCCGGGGAGGCTGCTGAGCCCGCCGGGAGGCGCCTGCCACACCTCGATCCCTGAGTGTTGCTGCCCCCTCTTCCCTCTGCACTCTCCCCTGTCGCCTTCAGGAGCCCTGTACATGGTTTCTAGAAGTGTCTTGGATAGATGGGGACCAAAACGCCAAAGCTTCTGAGCCAGTTTGCTTTTCGGCCTGCTTGAGGCCTGCACGGCTGAGCTGTTCCCAGGGCTTCTGTGCCACATGGTTGGCGTCCTCACACTAGGCAGTAGCCTGTGCCCCTGAGGAAGGAGACTGCGGCAAAGTTCGGCTTTAGGGGGCCAGCGGGGGTTCCCTTGGCCCTGCCTCACTTCCCCAGCGATCACCTTGTGCCTCGTTCCCCTTATCTGGGCTCTGAGGGATGTTTCATGTCCCTCCATCACTGGGGTTCAGAGTCTGGGGACAGAGCTGATCAGCCCCTTCTGACCTCATTCTCTAAAAACAGCAGAAGCTTTCTGGATTCCTTTTGAAATGTGCTGTCCTAGTGTAAGGCCATACAACCCTGAGTGCGCCTGGTCTTGTCTGAAATGTGCTGTCCTAGGTGTAAATAATTGCTGTTGGCAGAAGTGCCCCTGATGGGGTTTCTGGCTGTGTGTCAGGGCCAGCCTGGTGCCAGGCTCTGAACTCATTATTCTTGGTGTTTCTCCTGACTTAGCAGCTCTCTTTCTGATAGTAGTTGACACCTTCATTTCTTTTTTTTTTTTTTTTTTGACACCTTCATTTCAAAAGGGCGCCTTTAGTTTATTGTCCTACCTCATCATTTGTGCCATTTATGTTTCTTGTGCCAAGCGATGGCATTGCTCTTAAGGAGTTTATGGTCTAATAGAATTTAAAATAATAAGCTGGGAGTAGTGGCACATGCCTCTAATCCTAGCACCCAGAGATGAGGCAGGAAGGTTGCTGCAAGTTTAAGGCCAGCCTGGACAGTATAATAAGACCCTGTATCCAAATATATATGAAATAATAGCTGTGTATAGCACTGCTGAGCCAAGGAGCACCCCCATGTACTTGAGATCAAACTCGGCCTTCCCACTGAGCTACATCCCTAGTCTTTAAAGAATTTTTTTTTTTTTTGCAGGTACGGTGGTGCATGCTTATAGTCCCAGCACTTAGGAAACTGAAGCCGGAGGATTGCCACAAGTTCAAGGCTGGGCTGTGTAGTGAGTTCAAAACCAGCCTGCCCTGCCTGGCAAGCGCAAGGTCCTGAGTTCGATTCCTAGTACCACTCCCCCTCAAAAAAAAAAAAAACCAACCTGAGCTACACAGCAAGACCTTGCCTCAAAAAATAAAATTTAAAAAAATTTAAATTTTAAGCCAGGGTCTTGCAAAATTACCTAGGCTGGGCTTGAACTTGCATTTTCCTGCCTCAGCCTCTCAAGAGTGCTGGATTAATGTGTGTGCCAACATGTCAAGCTTTTTTTTTTTTTTTTGGTCTTTTTGAGACAGTGTCTCGCTGTGCAGCTCAAGCTGGCCTTGTAGCCCAGGCTGGTCTCGAACTTGAAACAATCCTCCTGCCTCAGCCTCCTGAGTGCTGGGATTACAGGCATGTGCAACCATGCCCAGCATTCTTTTTTTGTTTAAAGATTAAGGTCAAACTGCCTAGGGTTTGGCTTGGTTTCTTGAGGCAGAGTCTCGCCATGTAGTTCAGGCTGGCCTTGAACTCTACGTGGCCCAGGCTGGCTACAAGCTTACAACTATCCTGCCTCAACCTCCCAAGTGCTGGGATTTAAACTGCCCAGGGTTGGTCACATACCGAATGCCTGCCAGGGGTCCATGCTCACCCGGCTCCTGCCTCCTACCTTTCCGCTTCCTAGGAGCAGCATCAGCAAGTTTTGTTGCTGACTGTTGTCTTCATCCTCTCTTACCTCCTTCACTCACATAAATGTGTGTAGAGCTTGTTTCCTTATGATGGTTCTGTTGTATAACTGCAGTCAGTTGGCTCCCTAGAAATTGACATTTCAATTAAAGGAATTTCCCTGAAAACAGAGTCTTGGATCCATGGGGAGTAAGTGTCTGTAGGGAGACGAAGGTAAGCTTCTGGTAGAGAGTAACTCGCTGAGGAGATTGGTAACGAGACAGTGTTGAATTGTGGGGGTAGGGCTGGGAGTGCGGCAGTGGTAGAACACTTGCCTAGCATGTGCAAGGCCCTGGGTTCCATCTCCAGCGCTGCAAAAGGAAAATGAGAAGGGTATGTGTATGGGAAAAGTAACTCCAGTGTTTTTCTCATTGCTTTGCAGAATGACCTGCCCTGAGCATTGTGGTACTCCTAACGACTGTTTTGACATTTGAACATGATGCTGGGGAGGAAAAGATATTCATTTTAAATTTACAAGCTCAGGGGCTGGGGATTTAGCTCAGCAGCAAAAGCGCCTGCCTGGCAAGCGCAAGGTCGTGAGTTCGGTTCCCGGTATCGGAGAAAAACCTAAATAAATAAATAATAAATAAATAAATAAATAAATAAATAAATAAACAAACAAGCTGAAATGTGCAGCTTGGGTGTTGATACCAAGGCTCAGGTGTCAGGTTTGCTAAGTACTTGATGAAGTAGAAGGCTTGCGTGGGCAACCTAGTTGGCTGTGATAGGTGAATTTACATATTTGGAGGTAAGGCAGTTTCTGGTTTGGGTCATCCTGGCAAAAGCAGTACTGGCCCTCAGACACTGCCAGGAACGAGGCCACTCAGCTTTTTTTTTTTTTTTTTGTCATTTTGAGACAGGGTGTCACTATACAGTTCAAGCTGGCCTTGAGCTCACTTTGTAGCCCAGGCTGATCTCGAACTCACAACGACCCTCCTGCCTCAGCCTCCCAAGTGCTGGGATCATAGGTGTGCGCCACCTCGCCTGGCTCCAAAACCCCTCAGCTTATCCTTTGTTTCATTTGTTTTTTGAGGCAGGGTCTTGCTATGTAGTTCAGGCTGGCCTTGAATGTATGGCAGTTGTCCTGCCTCAGTCTCCCGAGTGCAGGGATTACAGGCATGCGCTACTACACCCAACAGTTTCTCATCTTTATTTTCATCCTGTGGCCATACCAGCCTGTCCTTGTTGGCCCCTGACCCAGCTTGTGTTTCTCCTCCACTCAAGGGGAAAACAGGATGGAAATGAGAAACTGATAAGAAATACCAAGCGGGCTGTGAGCGATGATGTGCTGAGTGGTGCAGGATGAATGTAAAGACCTCACTGGTCCTGTACCTGGGATCCAAAGACAAAAGCCATTTGCTGCAGTGTCCAAACCTCTTCCTCAGGTGTCCTGTTCTTTAGTGTCAGCTGAGTCTACAGCTCTCTCATTAAATCCTTTGTTAGACTTGGGCCTGTCACACACGCATCCCTTTGTCACCATTGTGCGTTCACTGTTGAAATTTTTATTTATTTATTTATTTTTTTGTGGTGGTGATTGAACCTTTGCCCTGAGCTACATTCCAGATCCTTTTTTTAATTTTGAAACTTGCCCAGGCTAGGCCCAAACTTGTGATCCTGCTTTCTCAGCCTCCCAGTGGGCTGGGATTACAGTGTGCACTGCCACACCTGGCTTCAGCATTGCAGTCTTACATTGAGCAATGTTTTGACCAAAGGTCTCTCCAGTAGGATACGGACTCCATGAGCAAGAGCCCAGGAACTCTGTTTTTACTTTCCATTGCCTCCGAACTGCTTGGTGCCCTCGTAGGTGGTCAATAAATACATGTTGAACAAATGTGTATGAATGTTTAAATTAGTAAATGTTGACATAGATGTTTTCTCTAATAGAATGTGAGCTTGGTGGATCTGGATTGGGTTTGTAGATAGTCTGGCTCTGCATGTCCCAGGCGTTTCTCCTTCACCTCATTCCTCCAGTCATTCGTTTACAAGGTTGGAAAAAAAAAAGTTTACAAGATTGTGTGGGTTTTTTGTTTTGTGTTGTTTTTGTGGTACTAGGGGTTGAACCCTGGGCTTCTACAATGAACTATATCCCTAGTCCTTTTTTTTTTTTTTTTTTTTTTTCTGGTATCGGGAATCAAACTCATGACCTTGCACTTGCCAGGCAGGCGCTGTGCCACTAAGCTAAATCCCCAGCCCGCCCCCAGTCCTTTTTTAATTACTATTTTGAGACAGAGTTGTCATTCAGTTGCTCAGATTGTAATCCTGTCTCAGCCTCTCAGAGTGCTGGGACTACAAGTATGTGCCATGCCCAACTTAATTTTATTTATTTTATTTGGCAGTACTGGGGATGGAACCCAGGGCCTTCACACTGAGCCACATCCCAGCCCTTTTTTCTTTTTTTTTTTTTTTCCTTTTGAATTTCGAGGCAGGATGTCACTGAGTTGCTAAGTTGTCCAGGCTGGGTTTGAACCTGTTCTTTGGCCTTGCAGAGTGCTGGGATCACATGCGTGTGCCACCACACCTTATTCAGACTTGCAGGTTCTTGGTGTCAGGTCAAATGAAGGACACAGGCCTGACACTGGGGTGGTCGTGGGAGACGGAAAACCAGTTGGTTTTTTTCTTAATGTCACACTAGCCTGGCAACCAATAGGGCCCTTCAGTGTTACAGAAAGACAGTCGAACACACCTTACGGCCGCTTGCAGTCAGTGCCAGGTTGCTGCAAGGCTGACAGGGATGAGTGGGCAGATGAGGGGCCCAGAGAGTGAAGAGGGTGGGCAGAAGGGCCCAGCTGTCCACCTGATGGGGCCATTTGCTCCCCTAGGCCAGCCCCCCCATTGGTTTTCCTTCCACACTGGGTTTGGACCCCACACTCAATCCAGGGCCGGGGCAAGGGGCAGGGACTGGAAAGGAAAGAGATGGGCACCAGGCGGTTGGGGGCCTGCCGGGCTGGGGAGGATGTCTGCCCCAGCAGCTAGGCCACCAGCGTCTCAGGGGCCAGTTAACCATTTACCCTGTACCAGCTGTGTTCAAGGTTGGCAGAAACCCAGCAGTCCTTTCTGTCATTGGACAGTCGAGGGCAGCAAACGCCAGATGGAGGCTCACATACTATTGCAGGGGGGATGAGGGCAAGTTTTGGTGTCTTGCCTGGGCTGTCAGGAAACTTTCCTGTGAACAGCCTGCTGGGAGTGCTGCACATGAGCCACCTGTCCTACACAGGCCTGGGCTTCTGAAGCTCCTGCCTGGGCAGGCTGGAGCAGCAGACAGTGGGACAGGGTGATGTGTGACAGAACCCCACTCAGTCTGTTATTCAGGCAACAATTAAGAGCTCTGCCCTGGGAACAGGTGAGGGAGGCAGACTTGGGACAAGTGAGTTCAAATCAATGTCTTTAGGGGCAGCTTAGAGTACTTTGGGAACTCATAATGGGATGGAGCAATCTGACCACAGCCACCCTGGTTTGAGCAAAGACCACTGTAAATCCTTCCCCCTGCTGTGCTTTACATCTGCTGCAGGCGTATCCTCATGGGTCCAGAAGGCTCAGTGAGCACAGCTACACTCTAATTCCCAATCAGTGTTCAGCCCTGCTCTTGAGAACACTTAGCTCCTTATGTGTCCTCAGCCCTGTCCTGGCTGAGCAGCCATAATTCTCTCACACCAAACTCTCCCCCTAAAAGCCCCATTGTGACTTGTTTCTTCCACAGTGCACCCCCCTTTATGCTCATTACTCTATAAACACATAGCCTGTATAGAGTTAGCTGGTCAGGTCTCTAGTGCAGAAAGGTCTCTCTCCAATTTGTTCTGAAATAAACCTGTCCCATCGAGCTTGTACCCTGCTTCTTTTCCTTTTTGTCCTAACAGGAAGCATGTGTCCCAGACTTGTGATTAGTGAAGGATTCCCTGGGGGAGCTGAACCAGGAGGCATGGACAGCAGAGCAGTTTATTACCGAAGGGGCAGGGATGGCACTCCAGGAAAACAATGGCATCTGCAAAGCCTCAGAGGCAAGAGACACAGTCACTTAAGGAAGTGAACAAAATTGAGTCTGTCTGGAACATTAAGGACAAATGGGAAACAGAACAGGCAAAATCAAAGGCCTAACAGAACATATGAAGGGACCTGGAAGTTAACCTAGGAACAGGAAACCACTTTTGAAGGAGTCAATATGAGCAGATTTGTGATTTTGAGGATCACTGTTGCTGCAGAGGAAAGCAGGAGAAAATGTGGGAAGTCCAGGTAGAAAGCTATGCAGGC